TTTCCCACACCTTGTCCTTTAACAAGAGGGTGTGGCATGTGACGGTGAAGCCAACACCGTCTTTGAGTGGCCCACAGGGAATGCCATCATGCACTACTAGAAATAGGGCCTTTGCCGAGTGCAAACTGCTTTGCCGAGTGTAAAAAATCGGGCACTCGGCAAAGACCTTCTTTGCCGAGTGCCGCACTCGACAAAGAGTTCTTTGCCGAGTGCTGGGCACTCAGCAGGGCACTCGGCAAAAAAGGCACTCGGCAAAGGACTTCTTTGTCGAGTGCCAGGCTCTCGACAACAGCGCAACACTCGGCATAGGCTGCCCCGCGTAACGGTGTTCGGCCACGTCCTTCTTTGCCGAGTGCCTACTGTTAGGCACTTTGCAAAGATTTTTTTAGAAAATACTTTGCCGAGTGCCCCTGACACGGCGCTCGACAAAGATTCAATATTTTTTTTGAAATGTCTTTGCCTAGTGTCCACTGATTCGGCACTCGACAAAGAGAGGAATTAAAAAATTTACTTTTTTTTGAAATAACTTTGCCGAGTGTCTCTGTGAAGGCACTCGGCAAAGAGGAAATTTCTAATTTTTTTTTTCAAAAAACCTCTTTGTCGAGCGCCTTATTCTTGGCACTCGGAAAATGCTCCCTTTGCCGAGTGCCATGCCCCGGCCCCTCGGCAATTTTTTTTTGTTTTTTTTTGTTTTTGATCTCCAAATTTTTTGTGCAGCCCTTTTTAAGTACCATGAACTCCTCGTTAGAATTTGGGGAATTTTTGTGGCTTTTTGATATATTTAGTTACTTTATTTTGTTTACTTGAATTTTTTTCGAAAAATATAAATTTGAACTGCACGTGGTACGAATAATGGAATTTAATAATTCAAAAAATGATAGTCAGATTTACCTTGAATTTTTTGCATAAAAAGCTGAAAGTTTAACTTAGGGACAATTTTTTGTCCATTGTGATATTGCTTTATTTTGTTAAGATCGTGATTTTGCACAGACACGTTTAACTGATTGTTTGGCTTTAAAGAATAATCAAATTTCTGCAGATGCATTAGAAATTGCTAATTGACATAACTAGAAAACTCTCCCAAACTACTAATCATAATATCCAATTGACTCCATATTTGTAGAACTTTTTCAGATTATAACTTCATGCTGCTGGTCATCAATTGCCCATCCTTAGAATCCTATTATTTTATTTGAAGTTTCCATGTAGAGTAACTGAAACTTTTTGTTTCTCCTCATGTAACGTTTCTCTAAGCTTATTTTGTGCGATCAAACTTTTTCAGGTATTGATTACTGAGTGATGTTGGGCCCTATATATGGCTATCGATTAATGGATCCATTGTCTCTTTGTGGCGCATCAAGTATGGTTTCTTTTGTATGTGCGATTTTATTCTAGGATCATTTCAAGTGCAGATTTGGCAATATATAATGTAGCTAGTTCAGTCTACTGGTTGTAACTGGTTTTTTAAAACATTTTATTTCGTTTGAGCTTCAAGTCGTGTGTGTATCTAATCAGCCATTGGACTCATGGGGTGATCATGTTGTTATTGGTATATTTTGCTACCATTTATTACCCTTTCGAATTAAGTGGACCTGGTCTCTTGCATATGTATCTTATATGCTTATCGTATGTATTCTTTTTTCGTGAGCACTAATATATCAAAAATACAATTTACAGTGCTATATGTCAGCTAGTGGCTGGTTTGCCACGTATATACATATATATATATGTCAGCATGTGGATTTATTTGGATGAACTTGAGCATTTATTATTATATATGTGATATATATTGTGATGGATGTGATATGTGCGGATGGATGAGATATATATGTGATGAATGAGATATATATGTGATATATGTTTGTATGAATTTATTTGTCATGATGTAATGTAAAAAAAATTAAAAATTGCCGTTTTGGATCACTTTGCCGAGTGTTGCACTCGGCAAAGGACCCCGTTGCCGAGTGCCATGGTCATAGCACTTGGCAAAGCTAGAAAAATGGGCGCTCGGAAAATTATTTTTCCAGCTTTGCCGAGTGTCATGATCAAGGTACTCGGCAAAGAATTTTTTTTTAAAAAAAAATTCAAACTTTGCCGAGTGCCGGCCAGAGGGCACTCGGCAAAGATTTTTTAGAAAAAAAAATTCAAACTTTGACGAGCGCCGGCCAGGGGGCACTCGGCAAAGAATTTTTAGAAAAATAAAATAAAACATCTTTGCCGAGGATCGGATAGAGAGCACTCGGCAAAGAATTTTTTTAAAAAAAAAATAAAAAATCTTTGCCGAGTGCCTGCAGGGTTGGCACTCGGCAAAGCGACCGTCAACGGGGCCGGCGCCATGACGGTCGCTTTTCTTTGCCGAGTATCCCCGGGGCTCTCGGCAAAGCCTTTGCCGAGTGCCCGATAAAAGACACTCGGCAAAGAGGGCTTTGCCGATCAAATTTTTGCCATATGTTCTTTGTCGAGTGCCGCACTCGGCAAAGGTTTTGCCGAGTGCAATTTGGCCTTTGCCACCTGAATCCAGTAGTGATGGCGATCGACTTTGATGAACTTGAGACAAATGCCGGCGTCGATGGCGGACACACCCCGGTACATCCAGCGACGCGACAAGTTGGGAGGATGAGTTGAACCGAACTCCTCCGGAGGGAGGCGGACCAAGGTGACAGTAGGGGTGGGATCGAACATGTCACCGAAGATGATGGCACAACTTGTAGTCGATCCAGCACAACCAGTTGCGGAAAGGGATGACGGTGTAGCTCTGCCAGCGGAAATCATCGTTGCTGTCGCTGCTGAGAATTCGTGTGCGGGCACAGCTCCACTTGCAATCAGAATAATCAGCTGATGATGATCGCAGCCAAAAGATGTCAGCATAGCTAGACCTCAAAGTGCCTAGGCCCCCTAACCAAAGGTTTGGCTTCTGCTACCACAAACTCTTGGCCTCGGCACAAGAGGCCCGTGATTGCGACGGACATCATACGCTGTGCAGGAGGACGGCGAGATTGGCGACCATCGCAGCGGGTATGATCACCCAAGTTGGACAAGGTACAATGGGGGAGCAGTTTGAGTGAAAGGTCGGAGGCGTTGAAGATGAACAAGTCCTGCACGGGAAGTTCTCCACGGACGCTGATCTTACCGACGCGAAAAAGGGCGAGATATTGGTGGGTCGAAAGGATAGAAAGCAGCTGTCTCCCAGGTTCCCCAGGAAGTCCCGGCAGGTACGCATACATGCGGGAGATCGCCAGGGGCTCCGCAAGCTTGAAGGCGACGCTTAAGGGGGTGTTCCACGAGGTGGTGCTAGACGTTCTGATGGGGGCCTTGCTCTCGTCCGGGAAGGACTCATCGTCGTCCCTGCGGGAGAGGAAGGGCTCCATCAACACCCACTTGTTGCCATAATAATATATTTTAAATAAAAATAGCGGTTAAAGCGTGATATTAAATATCCCACTATATTTTGGGCGAGGGAGTAGTCTATCCGGCACAACTAGTGACGGAAGGTGATGATGTTGTCAGTTTTCCAAAATGTCAGTGCTAGTTGCAGGTATCATCATGCCGAGGATTGATAGTTCAAGTACAGCCATGGGCAGACACTGTTCAGGCCTGAACCTAGGCATCTAAAATCGGCACACCAAGAAACCTGTCTGGTCCAAGCTGCTTCTTATAGTTGTTAACCAAACAGGCCAGGAGTTCCATTTTTCAAGCTGCTTAAAGTTGCTAGCCAAACAGGCCTGGAGTTCATTTTTCCAGTAACTGCGACAAGTCAGGGGCTAGATGGTGTGCGGTAGCACAACCAATAGAATTATAGAAATAATGTGATGTTAACTTCAATTTATCTTTTAGGTCTTGTTTGATTGGAGTCCAATCCATAGAAATATTACTTGCAGATGAAAAATAAGTTGCAATCACTTTATTCCATCCCAATATGTAAGGATTGGGTGTACTGAAGTACAACTAATCAATCCTTCAAAAATTTTGTAATGTATTCTAGTGTACTTTCGATTGGCATATTGTTACTTGGAGATCAAATTTAACATGCAAACTTGTATAACACAGGCAAGTTCAAGGACTAAGTGACAACTCCACACAATGACACAATTTAATGATTTTGCTTGAAAGAAAACACTGCAGACTATTTTTGACGAAGCAACGGAACACACCACAAACCATCAGCGGTTCACACAATACATAAAAATAGTCATTAAGATCCTTCCTATGCCACAACATGAAATAGGTCCTTCAATTTTGTCAGACAAACACAAGAGAAGCCTTTCATGTGAAACCACCAGACATAACAGAAGAAAGCAAAATGGTTGGGCAGGAAGACATGTCTACGAAGTACGATGAGTTGACAGCATGGGCAGGAAGGAACACATGTGACTCAATCCACATTCTTCCTCTTCCTGCAATACATAAATACTATGACAAAAATGGTCTAGATAGATGATGTTCAAATTAAACTTGCTTCAGTTAGCAAGAGAAGGCTAGCTACCATGTAAAGATGATTTGTAAAGTAGTAGTGCTATATTGACAAGAAACAATTGCCAGGAACAGACAGTGCAGGTAATAATTAGTAGAATTCACTTCCATACTAATAATTTCCAACATATGAAATAAGGTAATAAAAACTCTTATTAAAGTAGTTGTGCCATATTTACAGGAAACAATTGCCAAGAACATATACTTCGCTACTAATAATTTTCAACGTATATATGGAAGAAGGTAATGACAACTCATCATTCATAAGCCTAATGAATATATTTCACTTAAACTTGAAAGCTAATGTTTAGACATCTTTGGAACGCGGGATTCCTATATATGACTAATATGAAATTCCTGCATTCCAAAAGGGGCAATATTACTTTTTTTTACGTAAAATACTCACTGGTCTTCCAAAAGTGAAAAGCCAGGAGATGAGATCCCTTGGGAATGCAGGAATCTGATAGGTTTAGTTTTTCACTAGAAAATGCATTATTCATGCAAAAGAAATCACATATTCCAAACGAGACCTAAACTGATGAAGAGTTGCACAATGCATCAATAAACGACTCCTAGTAAAGTAACAATATATCCAAACTAGCAAATACTATTAAGCAGGTGATATAGATAAAACCAGCAGCAGCAATATATACTATATAATAATATTATACGTACCTTGAGAGATGGAGGAACTCGGAGAACCCACAGGGGGGAAGGCGAGGAACCAAATGACTTCTCTTTGGCCAAGTCAGCATCCTCAGTTCCACGGGCCTCCATCCCATTGATATACGGATTAAATGACTCCACTTTCTTGGTGTTCATGTCAATGGTGACCACCCACATCTTCTTCCACGTGTACACGGACTTCTCGATGATAAGGAAGTGAGCTACGTGTGGCCTGTCGATGTTCACTTGAGGAAACATGAGAATGTCGCGTGGGAGGTCCTCAAGAGGGTTGGCAGACCAAAGCTCATTGGAGGTGACGGAGTAGTCCTTTTCCCACACCTTGTCCTTTAACACCTTGTCCTTTAACAAGAGGGTGTGGCATGTGATGGTGAAGCCAGCACCGTCTTTGAGTGGCCCATAGGGAACGCCATCATGGCGGTCGACTTTGATGAACTTGAGACAATTGCCGACGTCGATGGCGGACACACCCCGGTACATCCAGCGACGCGACAAGTTGGGAGGATGAGCATGAGTTGAACCGAACTCCTCCTCCGGAGGGAGGCGGACCAAGGTGACAGTAGGGGTGGGACCGAACATGTCACCGAAGAGGATGCCACGGTTGTAGTCGATCCAGCATAGCCAGTTGCGGAAAGGGATGACGGTGTAGCTCTGCCAACGAAATCATCGGTGCTGTCGCTGCTGAGAATTCGTATGCGGGCACAGCTCCAGTTGCAATCAGAATAATCAGCTGATGATGATCGCAGCCAAAAGATGTCAGCATAGACCTCATTGTCCCTAGGCCCCCTAACCAAGAGTTTGGCTTCTGCTACCACAAACTCTTTGCCTCGGCACAATAGGCCCGTGATTGCGACGGACATCATATGTCATGCAGGAGGAGGAAAAAGTAGGAGTATCATGCGAGATACGCGACCATCGCAGCGGGCATGATCACCCAAGTTGGACAAGGTACAAGTGGGGAGTAGATTGAGTGAAAGGTCGAGGCGTTGAAGATGAACAAGTCCTGCACGGGAAGTTCTCCACGGACGCTGATCTTACCGACACGAAAAAGGGCGAGATGTTGGTGGGTCGAAAGGATTGAAAGCAGCTGTCTCCCGGGTTCCCGGAAATCCCGGCAGGTACGCGTACAGGCGGGAGATCGCCGGGGGCTCCGCAAGCTTGAAGGCGACGCTGAAGGGGCGTTCCACGAGGTGGTGCCGACGTTCGATGGGGGTCTTGCTCTCGTCCGGAAGGGACTCATCGTCGTCCTCGCGGAGAGACGAAGGGCTCCATCAACACCCACTTGGGTGGCAAGTTATTAGCGGCGGCGGCGGACATGGCGACCTTGAGACAGATTACATTGGGAAATATAATTAGGGGAATAATCACTCCACCGTGAGGACGAATCGGGCGAGAGAGCTGTAACCTTACTTACCCACGGAGAAGTAAGCCGCTGCTGGCAGGGCGCGCCGGCCGACAAGAAGAGAGGAGGCGGAGGTAGCAGGAGAGCGCGCGCGGCGGCTTGGTGGCTGCCTCATGTATGTCGGTCGACTTGTGTAAAGAAAGATGGAGGACACATGTACTTTGGGCCATTATTGGGCTTTCATTTATTAGATGAGGTGAGAGCAGTTGTACGTGTTAGTCTGGGCCGGGATTCTGGGTCTGGCTGCTTTTATTTACTATTTACAAGAACATATATAGTTAGAGCAGTTGTTTTTTCTAAGATGAAAACGGATAGGCTACTGGGTCAAGTGGAAGAGATACACGTTCCTACGTGCCAGCTAAGTTTTTTTTTCTGTTTCTTTTTTTTCTTGAATAAGTAAAAATGTTTGCGCATCATTATAATTAAGATTGAATAGTTTGATCATACCAACGACATGTTTCTGGCGAGCACCCTAGGAGGCCTACAAGTTCTACTTCAATATTACACAAATGGTAGACAACCGATATATGGGCAACGACGCAACCTAAGAAGTGAGCTTGCGTCTCTGCTGCTGCCTGCGCGACCCTTTTCTAACGTTTGGGAAGAGTGCTCCCATTTATTCGACGTTGGGAGCGTTCGGCCTAGCATCATAGAGCTCCTCGTAGGTCTTTCTTTCCAACACGCTTGTGTTTATAGACCCGTGGCCAAACCCAATCGCTGCATGATTAGGATCTCACCTCATTTGAAAACAGACACCCGAGAGAGGCTCTGAGTCACCAGAGGCTTGCTTCGCAGCGGGAGCACCACATTTGCAGGTGACAGCAGCATGGGAGACAGACGAATTAGTGGGGAGGCAACACTATTACTGTCTATGTTTTCACAAGCGGACAAAAACCATTTTCAAAGGTGGGCAAAGCCTCTGCCTATAAATAAACGCCGGTGTTAATAACCATTTACGAAGGCGACGCGTAGAGCCCGTCTGTGAAAATAGGTAAATAAATAATAAAAAAATCGAAAGCCAACTGACGAGCCTATTCCGGAGCCGGTCAGCTTCCACGTGTTCCCCGCCACCGCTGCCACCGCCAGTGCGGTCCCCGCGAGCCCGCCGCCATCGGAAGAGACCTTGTGCCTCCGTTAATGAATTTATTGAGGCGGTCGTTTTTTTAGTGCCTCTAAAAATGTGTTGTCCACCTCCGAAAATCGCTGCATATTTTAGGAAACGCGTGGACTTTGTGCCCGTCTCCTAATATCCTAGGGGCATGTCTTGCAAAATCAATCATTTATGTAGTAGTGCAGCCTTCCGCAGCACTCGCTTGGTGAAGCTCTCGAGGCGGCACATGACGAAGGTGTCGTTGTACGTAGCCAGGTGGTCGTCCCGCGGCGGTGTACGGAGCAAAACAACATCCGCCGTGAGCTCAGTCAGACCGAAGCCTAGTGGGTAGCCTTCTATTGGCGGTCCTTTAACTCCTAGTTTTAACCGTCGCATAAAAACCATTCATATAAAATACGAAACTTAGTATTAGGGATTATGACTAATAATTTTCACATGTTTTGGTGATTATGTGTTTTGCAGTACATATATTGAAATAACATAGAAAACGTGCTCAAAATGAGCCAAGACATGAAGCGCAGCACCATCCAATGTGAGCACAAGGGGGAAAGGCCCACCAACCCGAAGCAACACCATCGATTTGTGTCTCATCCTCCGTAGATGCATCAGCACCCGGGGTGGTCTACGCCACCCGTGGTGGTGACCTGTGCCTGTCCCTTCTTAGAAGGTGCTGGAGGTAGGAGATCCAAGTATAGAGAGGGGGAACTTGGAGGAGGAAGATAAATAGTAGGTAGGAGATGGTATCTTCTGATAATTATTCGATGCCTCTCGCCTCAGGTGCAGCTTCCCATTTGTAGTGTTGTTCCTCAATTGACATGGCCCAGTAGGGCACTCGACCCATGGCCTGACGCTAGCCCATAGCCTGGATGACTCTGACACCTGAGCTAGAAGGAAGATTCTAGAAGATCCTAGAAGGTGCTGGAGGTAGGAGATCCAAGTACAGAGAGGGGGAACTTGGAGGAGGAAGATGAACAGTAGGTAGGAGATAGTTTTTTCTGATAATTGTTCGATGCCTCTCGCCTCAGGTGCAGCTTCCCATCTGTAGTGTTGTTCCTCAATTGACATGGCCTAGTAGGCCACTCAGCCCATGGCCTGACGCCAGCCCATAGCCTGGATGACTCCTGACATAGATGCTATGTTGCCAGGTGTCATCACGGTCGGGGTTCTTGCAGTAGAGGATTCCTTCGGGGTTCTTGCAGAAGCTGTGGACTAGTGCGCGGCATGAGTTCCATTTGTCGTCGGTGGAACCGAATCTGGTAGAGCTAGTTTGTGCATCCAAAATATGGCGCGCGTAGACCTCATCAGTCTAGGAAAGTTTGAGTTCTGCTACCATGAACTCCTGTCCATGGACCAGACCGCCATCAGACGCCATCGCGGCTGCTCCTGTTTGTGAGGAGGAGGGCCACGACGACGGCGACGGTGACCACCGTGGATGGGATCCGGCTCGTCCGACAAGGTACAAGGGGGGAGTGTTTTGAGTGATGAGCAAGGTTTGTCGTCGTCTATATCTGATGAGGCGCAGGCGCTGCTGTCGTAGATGAAGAGCTCCTGCAGCACGTCACATCGTAGTTTTGGATTTCGGTGTAAGCAAAAATACCAGAGGGGCCAGTAAGACGTCGCCAATACCGGTCAAAGTTTGGCCAAACTTTAATTAAAATTTACAAATATCATTCGATACCGGTCGAAACCGACTGAAACCGGCCAATACCGGAGGGGACCGATAGGACCGATATTGACTGGTTTACGCCGGTTTTCGGCAGTATTGAGAACTATGCTTCACATGCATCGTTCGCGATACTGACACGGAGTAGGACGAGATGCTGGTGACTCGCCAGGATGGCTAAGGGCACCTGTTTCATGGGATCCGAAAACCCCTGTAGCCACGCTGTCAGGTATCGATATTAGGGATACCCAAAGCAAGGAGGTTAGTGCCAACGCAGACTTCCCCGGATGATGTAAGACGTATTAAAAGGTCTAGTCTGAGCCCAAGGCCGCGGGGGTCTCACCCAAGGCCACGGGCTTCGCCTCGCTCGGCCCCTTAGGTGCGGGCGCCGTCCCGTTTGACCCCAAAACATGGTTTCCGCCTCGCCCGACCCCGTGGGTGCGGGCTTCGTCTCGTCCGACCCCAAAGCCACGGGGATCTCACCTAAGGGCCCCGTCTCGCCCGACCCCTTAGGTACGGGCTCCATCTCGCCCGACCCCATGGACGCAATTTCTGCCTCACCCGACCCCTTGGGTGCGGGCTTCGTCTCGCCCAACCCTAAGGCCACAGGGTCTCATCCAAAGCCGCAGATTCCGCCTCACCCGACCCCTTGGGTATGGGCTCCGTCTCGCCCGACCCAAGGACATTGTTTCCGCCTTGCCCGACCCCTTGGGTGCGGGCTACATCTCGCCCGACCCCAAGGCCATGGGGGTCTCACCCAAAGCCGCGGACTCCGCCTCGCTCGACCCCAAGGGTGCGGTTTCTGTCTCGTCCGACAGGGATCCGTACCGCCACCAACCACTCCAAGTCCAAGCGTATGGGCCTGGGTCAAAACTCTGACATCAGGAAAGAGACTAGCACGCCTCGATATAACCCATGGCCATGACGGGCCATACCTGAGGATTCACATCAAGAACAGCGTCGGGCATGCCGGTGCTGTTCTGCCTAACCCTCGTATGAATGCTGACAGGCACGTCAGTTCACCACGACGTTCGCCAAGATGGAATGGAATGCCATGACCAACAGACAACGCCTGCGCATGGCGTCAGTGACGAATAGGGCCATGACGTGGAGCCGTCCCTATTGACATCTACAGGGATGGCGGGACCCGCATGAAGAGGAAGAAGAAACTAGCGATCCTGGAAGCCTTCTTCTCTCTCTAGTTCTTCTCCTTTTCCTCTGTTGTAACCCGTGCTCTCCCTTCGCCTACAAAATGGGAAGCAGGGCACCCCATGAAAAGGGGGATCCAGATCGGCACATGTGGGGGTATGTCCCCCGGTATCCACAAGACAAGACATGGGCCGCACCATCAGAGGTGGCCCAGCCCACAAGATCAAGGCGTGCACGGCGCTGCTCGGCGTGCACCGCAAGATATTGTATAGTACCAAATATGCTACTTTTCTTGTAACCCTACCCCTCCAGAGTATATAAGGAGAGGCAGGGGTCCCCTAGTTGACACGATCCATACATCTCATATTCAATATGATACACCAAAGACACAGGACGTAGGGTATTACGTCGATCAGACGGCCCGAACCTGTCTAAATCGCTGTCTCTGCGCCTTGTGTCACCATTCGGTTCCTGATTACGCGTACCCCCACCGACAAATCTACCATCACGGGATACCCCTCGGTGGACTGCCGAGCATCTTTTGTCGACAGTTGGCGCATCAGGTAGGAGCCTGTGCGTGCTGATCCCATAGCGAACTGAATGGATCTCAACCTCGACATAACGTTCTTGGCGAAATCAACCTTCATCTTCGGTTTTTGCACGAGAATTTTCTTCACATAAACAGACATCGGAGCTTGGCGGATCACGACATCGTTCTTCAATCATCTACGAGCGTCGGCGCATCCAACTGCGCCACCACGACGTGATCCCAGCACGACACGGCACTACATCCGTGCAGTGACCAACAGCACCACGTGCAAGCTGATGGATTTCAACAAGACTGCTTGCAAAGCGGCGCTGTGCTATCAGATGATACATGCAACCATTGAAGGACGCATGACCTACAGCCGCATGCACGCAACCTCGTCATCGGTGTCTTCTCCGACTTCGCCGACCCGCGAGGACTCAACGACGCTACTATGTGGTGTTCGTTCTCCGGGCCGCATCCGCACAGGAGTCCTACTCCAATTCGAATCGGACACAACGTGCAGCAGAAATCTTCATGGAAGCAAATCTGCATGCATGCAAGCAAATAAGAAGGCGTACGTATACATCTACATGCAGGCCAACTACATATCGCTATGGCACTTGCATGTGTACACGCACGCATCAAGCACGCTTCGGCCACGCCCCATCTACTCCGCCATACAACATCGTTTCTCCGACCAGTTAATGATCTCCCCGAATCTCCTAAGGCCGATCATCAATATAAGGACGACATCACCCGGACTACTCACTTCGACCACCTGTCGCGCCACAATGATGATCGTCGCATAGAACTATGCCATGACGACCGCAACCGCCGCCATGACGACAGTTCGGAAAGCTTGAGCGCCGGGCAACTTCATCAACGCCGACCAGATAATGCCATACGTCATCGACCAGACGTTCTGTCTAAAGCTAAGTCACGCTTTAATATTTTTCTAAATATTCTCCAATCTTCGTATATCGCCATAATGTTTCTCCGAGCTGTTTTCTCCATGTTTGCTCTCCAAACGATTTTCCGAACCCCGAATAGTCATGTTGATGCTCGGACGCCTCCAGAGATGTCCCTGTCTCCGGCTCCTCCCTACACGTGCTACGGGCTCTGCGCTCTGCGTTATGGGTGGTTGGCTGCAGTTCCTTGGTGACGCCTGTTCCTCCTACACGTGCATAGGCTCCGCGCTCGACGTTATGGACTATGGGCTAGCTAGGGCTGGAGACTCAGCTACACACTAACTGGTCGGGCGGTTTATATTAAATATAAATACATCTTCACACCAACTGATCGCCGAACTACATACGCTATTTTTTTCTCCAGAGTTCATATATTTTTACATCATGTACTACCCATTCTATATATTTGTATTGCAGGATCATCGTCCAGGTGATCGGATCACCTGGTGCTCGGACTTCTCCACCGATCAACTGGTCGGACCGCTAGGTTCATCGACTTCATCGCCGACCAGTTGATCGGACTGTTCACCGGTCGCTTCTACTCAATGCTCACTTCGCCGCCGACTAGTCGACCAGACTATTCATCGCCCGTGCTTCATCGCCAGCTACGTCGGTTACTCCTCGGTGCTCGGATTCTTCATGCTTGAGGACTAAGTGGGCACACTTCACCACTGAAAGGTCCTACTGGCTAGAGGGGGGTGAATAGCCTATTAAGAATTTCTACAACAACACTTAACAAAACGGTTAGACAATTATGAGGCGAAGCAAGAGATGCGCTAGCCTACTAAAAAGCAAGCCACCTACCACAATTCTAGTTTCTATAGTCTATATCCACACAATGGCTATATCACTACACTAAGTTAGTGTACTCTCAAATGCTAGCTAAAGAGCCACACTAACCAAACTAACAAGCTCTCACAATTAGCTACACTAAAGAGCTTGATAACTAGTTTGCGGTATTGTAAAGAGAGAGCAAGATAGTTATATTGCCGTGTCGAGGAGTGAACCAATCAATCACAAAGATGAATATCAATGTAGACCAATCACCTCGGAATTAAATGATGACACAATAATTTTTTCCGAGGTTCACTTGCTTGCCGGCAAGTTACTCCTCGTTGTGGCGATGCACTCACTTAGAGGTTCACGCGCTAATTGGCATCACACGCCAAACCCTCAATAGGGTGCCGCACAACCAACACAAGATGAGGATCACATAAGCCATGAGCAATTCACTAGAGTACCTTTTGGCTCTCCGCCGGGGAAAGGTCAAGAACCCCTCATAATCACCACAATCAGAGCCGGAGACAATCACCAACCTTCGCTCAACGATCCTCGCTGCTCCAAGCCGTCCAGATGGCAGCAACCACCAAGAGTAACAATCGAATCCAACAGCGAAACATGAACACCAAGTGCCTCTAGATGCAAACACTTAAGCAATGCAATTGAATTCTCTCCCAATCTCACAAAGATGATGAATCAATGATGGAGATGAGTGGGAGGGCTTTGGCTAAGCTCATAAGGTTGCTATGTCAATGCAAATGGCCAAGAGAGTGAACTTGAGCCGGTCATGGGGCTTAAATAGAAGCCCTCACAAAATAGAGCCGTTGTACCCCTTCACTGGGCACAACACGGGGTGACCAGACGCCCCGTTCTTATCGACCGGATGCTGGACCTCAGCGTCCGATCACCCGATACGTGCCATGTGTCATCAGCTTCAAACGTTGATCGCCTGATCTCAACGGTCAAGTGATCACCAGACGCATCAGTTAGAAGGTGACCGGACGCTGGACCTCAGCGTCCGGTCGTTTCTAGTAAGGTCCCAAATGCGAATTTTCACGACCGGACGCGTCCGGTCATGCCCGACCAGACTCACCCAGCGTCCGGTCACTCAACGTCTCCTCTGTGCGCCCCACGTCAGCGTACGTCAGCACTGACCGGACGCACCCTGCCAGCGTTCGGTCACTTTTAGCACCAGCGTCCGGTCGAACACCGAAACACGCGCCCTCTGCTGCTACTGACTGGACACGCTGGTCCAACCAAGGCTAGCGTCCGGTCACTTTTAG